TCATTGGCTTCTTTGGCAGGCATTGTGATGATTTTTAGATAGATTAGACGAAGGCACTTGAGAGAGTTTGATAGTTTCGGAAAACATCGCTTACCAACCCAATTGATCGGATTCAAGAGATCACCGACACTTCATTTTACCATGCTGTAAATATAAGTTTGGAATAAACGCACTAACATCACATGTTATTGATTACGATTAGAACGGCTAGAAAAAAGAGATTAATAATTTGGAAAATTTAACACATTTATTATCTAGATAGCCAGTCTCCTTAGTATTATTATTTAGTGTCAGTATTAACAAATATATTTGTTTTTGAAATAGACGCTTGTAATACAGACATACAAAAACGCACATTAAATATTAAAAAACAATTTATTACTGGATCGTACACGACTGATTGTTAAGTTTGCGTTTAGTAACTACATTCTTCAATTTACTTTGCTTTCTCTTTCCACTAACACGCTTCGAATCCTGCTTGATTGGCTGGGGAGTGCGTGATATCAATTCTGCCTTTATTATGGATTTTTCTTTATCTTTTTCCAAATCACTCAGCACTATACTGAAAAAGGCTGCGATAAGCTCTATAAAGGAGGAATTCACCTACGAACAAACATTTTAAAACTATTAGAAACGAGCAATTGCAAGTAGGGCGAAAGTGTTTAACACTTAAATAAACAGTAAGATAATAAGTAAGATTTAAAGAAATTTATTATATGTTTGTTGCAATATGTTGGGCCAATGATTAACATACCTTCTCTCCAGTTTTTGCAGATACTGAAAAATTTGTCAAATTATTTTCCTGAGCAAATTGGTTGATAACATGAAGTCGCATGGCTCTCTTGTGTTCCAAATCGCCTAAAACAGACCGGGATATATTTTAAAGAAAATACATTTTGAACTTATATTTAATTTAAACAAAATTTGTTCAACTTCTGAATATTTCAGTTCACCTTTTTTAACAGTTTTTGCGACATAGGTTCAAATGTGAAACAATTGATGTTGAAAGCGAAAAACGTCTGGATTGAAGAGTTTCAAAGATTTATAACGAAAACACTGAGTTTAAAGCTATGCCTGTAGCTCATGATCAATGAATCAAATCTATTCAAAGCTCAAGTTTATAAGAAAGGATCTTTTTGGTGTAAAATAAGGAAACATCAGCAGATATATTTCGGAATATCTTATAAAACATAATTTTCATTATACTCAAAATGCTGAGTATAACTCAATCTATTTAAACTAATAAATAAGGGTAAAAATTAATTTGTTGTTTCAATCGTTTACTTCATGTTTCTCTTTCCTTATGTTAGCATTTACTATAATTAATTCGCCTACTTAAGTAAATAAGTGCCTACTTATTTACTACCATTTTCTTTATTTTTAATGAAATACCTTGAAGCTTCTTTCATATAGATTTAAGTTGATGTTTAAGTTAAGGTTTCGACAGATAATTTCTCTTTTTTATTTCTTTATAGATTGAGTAAAAAAATAAACAGTAAATGTCCATAGAAAACATTGGTTTTTTTGTTCAAGCAATAAACGGTCCTGTATATTAGAAGGTGTTAACATAAAGCAATTTAACAGTTTTTCTATTTTGAAGATCTATATTATTACGCTACACCAACACTATCTCCAACGCAATGGACAGTTTATTATTAATTAATATAAATATCTCATGATAACCAAAATATACCTAGTTGGTTTCAATTGGAAATCGTTGGAACAATTTTGCAAAGCAGAGATAATCAGACATCGAGCTGTTGATGCTTTTCAATAAAACGCATTTTACTTGTTTTTGTCGATGTCGATCGAAAATGAGTTACTTAATGAACATCTAATCTACCCATTTGAAACTGTGGCTATTTAAAATTGTTAAATGTTTGCTTTCATTTCGTACATCGAGTAGAACTTGTCAATAGAATTAAAAAGACCTTAAGTAAAAAATATTAAATTTACTTTTTACAAATGGTTTTAGAAACTGAAATTATAAAGCAGATGTAGGAAAGAAAACAAAATAAATCTGACAAAGAAACTATATTTTGGAAGCTTTCGCTAGTTAATCTCTTGATAAACGTTTTTGCAAGCTGCATAAATTTCAATCTTTCAGGCAAATATATTCAGTTTTTTTACATAAGCCTTTGTTACACGAAGAATGATTACATGCAATTATTATTTGATTTTCTGTACATATTTCCTTCTATAAAAGCCAAAATGCTTCACTGAATTTGTTCTAAATACCTACATTTATTTCCCATAACTGCAATTGTTGGATTTTCCTCTTCAGTGTAACGATTCATTATTTCATTTATTTTCTTCAGCCATACATTAAGTGAATTGAAACTTTCCATATTTGTTATATCGTAAACCAATAGGATTATCTACAAAAAATTGTGAATTTGCGATTACAAACAGAAAGCAAGTTCATTTGATTTCGAATTTCAATTGAGTCACTTGAAGATAAATATGTTTCAATATCTAATAATAATGAAAATTTTTAAACAATTATAATTTTAAATTGTTTATTAAGCACTACAAATATTACTAATACGAATAATAATTAGATATACAGTAATAATTCGAATGGGTACATTTCACAAATTAAAGCAAGAAATTCTTACATTTGTCTTAAATAAATAGGTGGATACCATGTGTCCATTCATTTCCAATCCACTTACATCAGCTATTCTTACAATAACATCTTTGGTTCTAGATAGAGTTACTCTTTTTATGTAGAAGTCGGCGCCGATGGTTGGCACATAGATTCTCGAAAAGTCATCATGACAAAATCTTTTAATTAAATTGGTCTAGAAAACACACATAAGGAGATTTTTCAAAATAGAAAACTGAAAATAAAATAGATATACCGGGCGTTGACAAAAAAATGCAAAACTGTTATTGCTTAGATCATCTCTTAAATAGAAGTTTCTATATCAATAAAATCATATTCTTCAAAGTAGTTTTTTCTTGTTGCGTAAGAAAATTACATTTGTTGGAAAGGTCTAAAATGTTGCTGAAAAATTTGATTGAATTTGAAAATTGATGATTGAATTTGAAAATTGATTGAAATAAAGTTAGTAACCAATCAATTAACGAGGAATTTATAACAAAGTAATATTTTTGTCCAAGACGTTGACGGTTTTTCCTAAAAGTTTATAATGAAAGTCTTATACTCTAACAGTTTTACAAAAAGTAGTTTGATAATTTTTTTCTTCTCCTAAAAGTTTAACTTTTTATAAATTATCGATTTAATAATAATTCGAAATCTTGTCCGACTCCAACTCTTGAGAGTTGCAGCGGAAAATAAAGGTATGGCTAATTTTTGTGAGTGGTTTTCCTTTTAATTATTCAACATGCAACATGCAGTATTTATTGCGGCAATGTTTCAAATACAAAATGAGTGACATTCTGCAGAAAAAATGTAGAATAATGAAGTCAAAAAGACACAAAGTTGCTTTGCAACTGAAGAAAATTCGAAAAAAACTAAATCATCAGTAGATAAAATTACTTCAGAATAAAGATTAGATTAAATAATGTTTTTGTGGTCTAGAATATAAAAGGCGTAGAAGAACGTTTCAAGTGTTCATTTTCAATAACCTTTTGTAATGAACTGCTCAACAAAATGAAAGTTAGACCGCCAAATTTGCCCTAACTTTAGAGCTGGATAAATTCTGATTGCTTAGAGAGATTTGGTGTCTTTGAAGTTCTGAAGCGTTATTGAGCCCTTGAGCAATTGTTTTTTGTTAGTCAATTTTTTGGTAAAAATTAAGAGCCTCAAATAAATTTTCTACATGGTAGCAAATGAAAAATTTCGGAAAAGTTCGGCATGCACCTAGTTGGACAGAAAAAGTTTTTTTGCATCTCGACACCAAAAGTTGAAAGATAATGCAAACAGCTCGAAACGGTTTTTGAATTTTTTGATCATCTATTTTATTTACAGGGTGGTCTCAAAAAATCAACTTTTTGATTTTGCAGCGATAACTTTTCTGCTCTTGGTACGATTTTTGCGATCTAGAGCTCATGTTGAGGATCAAACTTCTGGCGGACTTTTAACGAAAGTGGAGTTCACTTTCAAATATTTCATGCAACCCGCTGTTGAAAATTTCTATTATGTTAACCGAACTTGAACGGCTTTTCACAAGTTTTGGTGTTTGCTACTGCAGATAACAAAAAAAATCCACTTGCTCTGTCACTAAGTGCAATTTTTTTATATCCGTCTGTATGGATGTTTAATCCTATATAGTTCTTAGTACAATTGCTGTGTTTACCTTTCCAACATTCTGCTCTCCTAAAACCGCAACATTCAGCCTTTTTTCGTTGCAATCGTCTTCCGAGTCAGACATATTCTAATACAGAGCTTAAAAATCAACGGATTTGCGACCGATTCCATTCCAGACTCGTTCCAGCATCGTTTCCATATCAAATCCTAGTTCTATCCGGTAAATCTGAAAGCCATGTCGAATAGTGAATTAGAATGTGAACGTGCCTATTTTAAAAAAGATGCGGGTAAAAGTGGGAGAAACTAAAAATCATATAAAAATGTGAAACTGAGGGTAAGAAGGCATAGTTGTAGCTCAGCTTCATACAGTGATGACTTCTCGCTCAAGCTCAAAAATCGCTAAAATGATTTCGCAAATTTTGATGTTCATACTACTTAGTAACATTTTAGTGTCTGGTTGTCTGATAACGAATTGTCCTCGAGGTGGTAAAAGGTCTGGAAAGTATGGACTTTCAACTTCAAATAACATTAAGCAGGTAATTCAGTTTTCCTTAATACAATGTATTTATTCATACTTTTTAATCCATCTGTTATTTTCTTCATACAGTAGATACATAATTAGATTTTATGCTCATTTTCAACATTTTTTCTCAATTTCCATTACATAACGCGTCTTATAAGACTGTTTAAAAGAAGAGTATGCAATTGCATGACCTTTAATTACAATGTATTATAATTATTTAAAAACAGTGTATTTTTAATATATTTTTTAGGTAAAAGAGTATATTTTTATTATGTGTGTTTAGGTAAAACAGTATATTTTTAATATGTAGGTAATAATTTGAAAGCGTGTCCCTTGCAAAAACATTCGTTATGTACCACAGTTATGCCACCTTTAAAATGTGGTCGTAAAATATAGCTCAAAATTTCTGAACACCGTGTATATCGAAACTTAAGAATTTGCAGAAGTATGTCGGTACTCTATCTATACAAATGCGGAACAGTTTTATATCACAAAAGCCAACATCGAGCAAAATCAAAGCTCCATTTCAATATACTCTGTACAAAGGTGTATGGAATGATTACTATTAATGCAGCATTTCACATGTTGTAAACATTAATTATATGAAAGGAGATAGACTTTCAAGGCCATTCCTTGATACTAATGGGTGTTTAGGCCGTCGTGCGGTAGAATTTTTCTTAAAAAGAAGATCCGAAAAACCCATTAGTTTAATTAATTATATGTTTTGCCATGCAGGAACTTTAGTTTTGTATTATTCTTACAAGATTGAATTTTTTTTTCTGGTTTATCGAAAAACTACTACTAAGTAAATGCTAACAAACATTACGATAAATTGCTTAATAGAAAAAGAAACCCGTATATGCGCCAAACTTCAACACTTCGTCCACCTTCAAGCGCTCCTCTGTTTTTCTCTACTTATTTTTGCTTTAGCCTTTCAATTATTTTCGTGAATGGTGTTTTTCATTAGTTCAAAATTATCGGTTTAGTGCATACCTTGTGGTCCTGGCGGTGCAGGGCAGTGTTTCGGCCCTTCAATTTGTTGCGGTCCCTTCGGATGTCTTCTCGGTACCCCAGAAACAATTCGGTGTCAAAGAGAAGGAATGTTCCACGAATCAGAGCCCTGCATAGCTGGAAATTCAAATTGCAGGAAAAACACTGGAAGATGTGCTATGGACGGGATCTGTTGCAGTCAAGGTAAATAATATATCTCGCATTGCACAAAGATGTAAAAAAACCATAAATTTTGCAAAAATGTATCCAAAAGTTTACCTAAAGAGGTCATGGCAACAGTTAATATTTTTATTGCCCTGAATATGGCCAACAACATGATAAACAACGTTACAGCAAGCAGTTTGCACGGAATACGAATTTTCCTGGTATTCCTGCAATTATGTGGGAATATTTTCTTTAACTAAAATAAGTCCCTTCCATATTTCCATTATTTGAAACGCGTTTTAGAACTAAACCTAAGGCAATAATTTTGGTGAGCATTTAAACATTTCAACCAAGCAAGTTTTTTGTAATGAATTCTTCCTGTTCTTCTTGTTATTGAAACATTTTCAAATATTCCGCTTGGCGTGCGATGTATTTATCAACAATTTTCGCCATAAATACTGCAATAACAAAATATGTTCAGTAAAAATATAAATAATAACGTAGGAATAAGATTTTAGGAAACTATGGAGTCTCCATAATTATAGCAAGTTTACTGAAAATGGTCAAAAATTGAACACCCCTACAGAATAAATAAATAAATAAGTTAAAAATCGGAAAACGCTAGTACATATTTTTTAAGCAAAAAAGGGACAATACAGTGAGAAACTAAGTTCCTGCTCAAGTCGTATTGCTTTGAAAACTTTCTAGCAGATCTTCTAAATACGAATATCTCAAAAGAAAATCCAAAATAATAATGCAATTTCAATTTAGCACATGTCATATTTAAAAGTTTATAGTTTTATGCATTTTATTTCACAGATGCGTGTTCTATGGACAAGCAATGCCTGATGGAAGAGAAAAAATTCATAGGGGACAGTCTGTCCACCATGGATCTATTAAATATCCTGGGCTATCAAAATGATGGTATGGGAATAGGACTTGAAAATTAAACAAAAATCAACAAATGCCCTTTGAAGAAATCTTAAAATTTAATTGTTGCTAAAATAGAATTAAAAATAATTTATTAAATATAGGTAGCATATTACTTTAAAATTTCAGTTGTTTTTTTAATACCCACAGATTTATTGACCTAAAGTTGTGCTCAATTAATATCTACTCTGAAATACTTTTAAAATGCAGTGAAGAAGCAAACCTTATTAAAGAAATTCTCCAAGCTGAAACAAACGTTGGTCTATAAACCGCTAAATGTTTCACTATTAAACTTCTTGTATAATAATGCATTGCTTAAGTATCGTCCAGCTAAAATCTCCAATAAAAACGCCAAGGCGATAAAGGAATACAAACAATTGACCACGCACCGTCAATAACCTTTTAAAGGGTTGCATATTGACCTTAATTTTAAAACATTTATATGGAATGAGTAGGAGTTATAAAACTGTATACTAATTTTGAACTTTATCGGATCAGACAACAGGGATGAGCTTAAGGAAGAAATTATTAGATTGAATTCTTTGCTAAAAGTTCTGATTTTGGATTCTTATCATCAAATTTTTTTTTTGTAAATCACACGTTCTTTCGTTTTCCCGCGGAATGTGGCGTTCTAGATGGTAAATGATAAAGTGGCTCTGCTTTCACAACAACAATAAAATTGAAAAGTTGGTTTCGCGAGTCTATCATGTACAAAATTTGGGAATTTTCATGGCCGACTTGGGGTCTCCTCAAAAGGATGAACGTAATGAGTTTTTAACATTGTTATATATTTTAATCCTTGAGAGCCCAATTCGACAACTAACCGCAAATGTAACGTTGACATTTTGTCAACAAAGGCATGCCTCGGCGCTTAGTTGCCGCTGTGCGTTTTCTGAAGAAAATAATAGGAACAAAATGTTCCATATAGAAAATGTGACAAAAACTACCATAAAATATTGCTTGTTAACCAAATTCCTTTAACCATTTTCCGTACTCTCCAGATAAGCATCCGTAACCGTTTTAAATGAATACGCCAATTTTGAATTTACCCGTATTTACTGTGTAGGTACTCAAAAATCACTAGCCCTAAATTATATTCTGTCAGCAAACTAAAGTGCAGAAATATGAGTCAATGACCGCAATTAAATAACCAGAATGAATTCGGACAGAGTGAATACATTAAAATATTGATTTACATTTTCAGTATAAAAAAACTCGACAAATTTGAATGCGTTCAATATGTTTTATCTCGTTTTGTGTCGTTCCATCGCATTATTTAAACTCAACGCTCTTCGCAAACGCATTGGGCAACACTGTAAAAATTGACAACCAAAACAAAAACACAGCTGATTCAGCTTGTTCATAGGCAATTTGTATTTGTATTTTAAAAGTATTTTCAAAAGCTTAAGTACAACATTTTGTCACAGTATGTAACGCAACACGAGATCTGGCTTTCGTGGTTTTCATTATAAGTGCTTTGAATAACTGTTAATTAATTGAGCACACTATATTTGTGAGTCATCTGAGCTGAATTTATGTAGAAACAATAGATTCGGCGGTTTTAGATTACATTCAGATACATAGTTAAATATTTAGTGATACTCATTAAATCATGTATGATCCTGCTAGAGATGAACTAATTAATGAATGTGAAAGTGACGACGAGAGTGTTTATGAAGATGAAGATGAAACTACTCGAATTATACCTCCAACAGGTAAGAACCAGCATATTATAGCTAAATACACGATTACTTTTTAATCCCAATTGATTATCATTGATAATTTATAAAACATTGATTCAGTACAGCTTATTTCAAGTTCAAGTTCGTTGGCTCAATTCAAGTAATAGTCATATGAACACAGCAATGAGACCAACATCAGATTGTACTGTTAAAAACTTGCACACCATTTTTCGTTTGTTAATTTTTCATAATTTACAAATTCATTTAATATTCATAACTCTATAGATAACTAAAAACAGCTTAATCTCGTCATGAACTGCGCTTGTAAAAATGCATACCTTCACTCGAAAAATGTTCACCATACATACGTATTTGGACATGATTTATAAGTTGAACGTGCCAAATGTGACTATTTTATAATCTAGGTATATTTTTGCATTTTATCCGTATTGTCATATAGAAGCATTGTTAAACTCTTTGTTACATTTGAATATATCGCCTGGTTCCGTTCAAAGTCCATAGTTAGTCATAATAATGTTATCACTAAACCATATTCTAAAAGCAGTATTCGTTCTAGCAGTAGTCTGTGATTTTACATAAAGCTGACTATTACCTATTCTCCTTAATTAAATACGAGTTATATCGTTACCGCCGTAAAATGACTCGGCTAAGCCTGGGTAACACTGTGTTGAGTTGCGATTTGAGTTATTGCCACTTTCTGAGTTGATGAGTTATAACTCATTAGCCGATGATTTATAACTCATTCATTAAAGTGGATTAAAGCTTCAGAGACCGGAGACTGGAATTTTAACATCTGAAAAAATGGTCATCAACATTTTTACATGTTTTACCACGTTGTCCAAACAACTAAAAAAAGGGTCACATAATTTGTGTAACTCATAATTTAAGTAACCATTTTGTTTGGTCTTTTTGTGTGCCAATTGGAAAATTAAGTTGAAGGTAGCAAGTGTGGGACAATGATGATGAAAAAGGACCTATTTAATTATTTGTCAACGTTTCGACCTTTGCTGGGGTCTTCTTCAAGGCCCAAATTATGTGTAAACGTTCTGTCTATGTAGATTCATTATAGTGAATGCATCTTCATGGCAAGGTAATAGCGATGGGGATGCATTTACTATAATGAATCTACTTTGACAGAACGTTCACACATAATTTTAGCCTTAAAGAAGACCGTAATACAGGTCAAAACGTCGGAAAATAAATAAATAGTGACGTTTTCATCATTGTCCCACATCTGCTACCTTCAATTTAATTTAAGTAACGTTTGCCCCGAGCAAAGGAACTGAGGTTCTGCGCCGGTTTGTTGAATTGGCGCCCCAAGCCATTTGCGCAGCACTGCGCCAGCTCTTAAAAATGAACCAGTTACCCAGGCCTACTGTCGGCGGTAACGGTTATATGGCCAGAACCAGCACCTTAAGCAAAATGTGCACCTGCATATAAGCACTAAGCACACTCAGCATATTTAATATTTCAATTTAATCACCAGTTATATGCCTATAACCAGCACCATAAGCAGAAATTCAATCGCAGATGAACTCTGAAAAAGGTGGACTGCTTGCAGATTTGTACATCTGATGGGATGTACATAAACAAATGAATCATGATAATGAAACTTAAAATTTAAATGAGTTATCCTAATCATCATCATATATGGATCATTACCATAGTCCATATTCATTGCATAAGGCATAAAGTGGGTTAACACCCTACTCGGCCCAATCAAAATCACATCCGACAAGACTTCTAAAAAGCTACAATTCTACATAATAGAATAAGGAAATTTCTACCGAAAAAGATAGTATCAACACTTCTAATATCATATAGTGAATTTTCTGCATTAAATGGATTGTCTTGGTGTAATTTATGACTATATAGATAAATTTTCAATAAAATCCTTAAACTTGCGTTGAATAAGATAATGTGCTTTAATATGTTATTCTAAATTAAAATTGAAAGTATATGGAGCGATAAAATTTACCTTCAAATAAAAAAGTACATTTTAAAAATGGTTGTGGTGTTTTATTGATATTGAACAGAGGCCACATCATTAAAATCGAAAGATAAATTTTGCATTAAAAGTAAATGAAAAAGTGGCCTGAGCTCTGCTTAAAGGCTGCAATCAGTGACACACAGTCATCTAATCTGTTAAAGCTTTATCGAAACATGCGTCGTTCTCAAAGGATTAAAACAATTTACTTTAAACAGCAAAACATTACATCTGACTATAAATCTCAAAAGTTACTAAATTGTAAAAAGTACCTACCGTCACCGCTGTTTTTCGTATTAAAAACGAACCGGAAAAAACTAATTGTTTACATTGCTCAAAAACGACACATTTTGCGATAAGGCTTTAAGGGACGCTTATTTCAGTAAAATAATTTAAAAATTTTATTAAATGAAAAGATTGTTAGGAACTTTTACCTTAGAATCTCTATACCTATCTAATACTGTATAGACAGTAAAACCACATTACATACATCCCACATTAAAAATGTACATACTTTCCTGACTGTGTTTCAATTCCAAATCAAAATCAATTCCTGGGCTTTAGTCATTTATTGTCTATTTATAAATTAAAATACGTCCAAGATTTTCAAATATTTTATTTGATTCTGTCTGTTCCCAACATTAAATTCCCGTCTCCTCACCTGTATAAATGTGTAGAGTGCAGAATCAAATAAAATATTTGAAAATCTTGGACGTATTTTAATTGATAAATAGACAATAAATGACTGAAGTCCAGGAATTGATTTTGATTTGGAATTAAAAATGTAGTGATTAGAAACCTGGAAGTTTATTGCTGTTTTTCTTGGATGAATTTTAACATAAATTTGGGTATAATCAACTGCCTTTTGAAATAACTCTGTGTCTCTTTTGACTTTTATTTCTCAATTATCGTGTGGATTCGACATTCTTTACCCGTAGCTCCAAACATAAATTCATAACGCACCATCGAACTTTGCCTGGATTTTTGCGAGTGAAGAATTTTTAAAGAATATTTTTGTTTTGCGAAAATGCAAGTTACAAAACTTGTATAGTGCATAGTACAATCTTGATTGATTGAAAGAATTTAAAAACTAGAATGTATGTCTATACTAAATATCTAAATTTATTAGAATCTTAGATTCAGCACCAAATCATTAATTTTCAGTTTTTTTTAACAATAGAACTTTGATTTTTTCTACTAGAATTAATTATATGTGCTTTTGCTGTGATATGAATTTAATTGGATGTGCCCTATAAAAATAAATTAATACAATTATATTATAATAATATATATTATATTTACGATAACGTTTATTAATGATTCTAATCGATATTTATTATTGTATAAGCATTTATTTACTTAGGAACTTTATTGAATTAATCCTATTTAGGAAACCTCATAAAATGAGTGACTTAATGGGTGGACCAAAATAAAATGAGATATCCGCTTTTTAAATTCGCAGCGACATTGTCATGAGACAAGCTAAAAGACCCTATTCTTGCCCAATTTCCGAGTAGACTAGTTTTACCCTGTTTTGTTCGTATCTATTCATAATTAAACGTTAAACAGACAGGATAAAGCCGTTAAGGCAGTCCAATGTGTATCTCCGCACTGCACTACTATTGATACTGCTTATTGCAGAAGAAGGCGAAACGTCAGGTGGAATACTAATCCATATTATTAGCATGGACACTTTCAAGTGAACTATTGCGATTGGTATTAAACCTTTAAAATATTTTCTATTTATTACCAGATTGTAGTAAATATAGCATTTTTTGCTAACATTAACATTTAATGTTTTTAAACATGAACTTAAAGAGGATATTTACAGACAAAAGAAAAGTAAGTACTTTCAATATTTCACAATTTAATACCTCATGTGAGGATGATGAATATATGATGACGATTATATACCAAGTCATTACTCATTGTGAATAGTATATAAAAATAATGCAAGTGGTCAAACCAATCAAGTCCATGTAACAAACTTTATTTAATATATAAATGGACATTTCTGTATAATCTAAGCACACTTTTTAGTACCTATTCACCGTGTAAGTGTATATTGATAACTTTTTAAAAACTATATGCGATAAAATGTTCGGCTTTTTGCATTATTACCTTGCTACGTCAATCGGTAGTCTGTTAGATAACGTCCAAGTTATTGTTAATTTCGAAAACGGATCAGCAGAACTAAAGGAAATTATGCCCGTCAATGTCCGTAAAAAAGCGAAAATAATCTTAAAATCCGCAGATTTTTCAAAAGTGCCCAGTATCAGTAAATACATATTTGATGTACGGAGTAATTATGAGGAATTTGATAAAGGTAATGTTTTACATAAAAATGCAATTGTTATTATTATTATTATCACCATTTTCATTTAAACTAACTATAAGAAAGTAATCGAAATTGAATACAAATTGTCGAAATAAAAACAAACTAGTAGTTAAGATTATTTTATATATTGATGAGGTCGAGGGCCATGTAGTATCTTTGAACAAAAACAACATTTTCTAATACATGTACATATATTTAATAATAACAAGATCTATCTAGAGCTTTTGGTGTTCTATTCACTAAACTTTCAATGGACGTTAGGATAAATCTCGCTAAATTGAAAAAAAAATGAATGCTAAGAAAGCTGAAAACAAAATTGAATTTGATATATAGGTCATTTATTGCCTCTAGAAGATAAGAATGCTTTGGTTAGAAATTAAATTTTTTTGTTTTTAGAATTCTTCCTATATCTTAATGTTTACGATGTATTTAATGGCTCGGCGCAAATATCAATAATAAGGTATATTCAATTATAAATTAATTTTCGGCGTTGGGATTAAGAGGTATGAGTAACGAACTTTTACTACCGCAAAATATATGATAACAGGAATATTGATCTCAAAAGTAGGCGATTGATAGTCTGTTCTTCAAGAATCATTTTTGGTTTAATTAACACTTTATAGTATTCTAACTATTTTATGTAAAAATTGCCAGTTAAAAATAGTCCAGCCTTATACATTGCGTGTAAAGTAGATTCTAATATTACGATATTTCGATTCCTGAAAATATGCTATTGATATAACAGAACGCTTTTATAAGTATTTTAATATCTTGGTGTTAATTAGACATTGGTCTAATTAAAGAAAGATTGCTTTCGTTAAGTACCTGCTGCATTTCGAATACTGATTTAGACTAGTTTCAATCATTTTGCTTAGGATTTTATACTAAATGTTTAACACTTTGTGGGAGACAAGGGCAGATCCAGTCCATGGGGGTCATGACCCCCTTTTGTGCTGGATTTATGTCGACTAACGACAACTTTTCTAATTTCATAGACAACAAAAGAGTACTTTTTGCTACGGGAAACCTGAATCCACCGCTGTTCAATGTATGATATTCAAATTTAGCTTCCTGGGTCGAAACTGCCCGAATTTCCCCACACATGTTGTTATGACTGAATCGAACTTTTTATTTTCTATCCAACGATACCATGTCAGCATGGGGGTCATGAGCTCCTTGACTCGAAAGCTGGCTCCGCCCCTGGTAGAAAATAAAGTATTTTAGAAGACTCAACTTAAGTACTAATAAATAATAAATTTGAGTCTAATGTACCATACAAACGGAATTTGTATTGCTAAATCTTGTTTATTAATGAAGATTTGCTTTATAGAAGATGCAAAAAGCCTACACTTAAGAGTTTTTTTTTGTTATTATATCTACGATACTTTCCACCGGTTTTGACATCTTCGGGTCTCATGCAAATTTTTTTTTCGGGCTTTGTGCTTCTCCATTAACCTGACGATTATTTAATACTTATCGATTATTATTAGTTGATCGTAAAATAATATAATACTCATGCACATTCACATATATTCGTACATATTTGAATATTTTTTTATTGCTTTGTAACATTTTACAAATCACATTATGTTAAAGTGTTAAACAAAGAAAAAACATGGACAAGTAACTAAATAAGAAACAGGCTATGTGAAGGTACTCGAGACAATCATCAAATAAGTTGTTTTGTCCATAGGAAAATATCATACACACCCAGATTTGTACGTATCTTATCCTGGCTTTGTAAACTAAAAAAAACCCTAATAAAAAATAAGACATTAACGGTTAGGACAATTTGGCGAAAATAGTCCTTAATTAAATGTTATTAATTATTATGCATTATTAATTAAGAAAAAACTGGATTCTCTATTTTATATATGTTTTATGGAAAAAAATGATTGAGTTTTTATGTAATTAATGTAAAATAAAATGTTTTATACGAAAACCTCACCAGCTGTTTCTTTTGTAGTTGAGGATACGAAAAACTGCATTAAAGCTAGACACATCTTGGGCGTTCTGGGATTTCTCGGTTTTGCTAATGTATATGCTATGAGAGTCAATCTGTCTGTAGCAATTCTTGCTATGATTAATCAAACAGCGCCAATTATTCAGAACAATACTTTTGACCAATGCCCAGCAGGAAATGTGTCCAATTCCACGACACCATCTGTAAGCATTGCAAATCAGGAGCATACAGAATTTCATCTTCACCACAAGCTATATTTTAGAATGGTGAATTCAATTGGGACGAAAGACAGCAAGGAATCGTGCTCGGTTCCTTTTTCTATGGATACGTTTTAACTCAAATTCCTGGAGGAAGATTTGCCGAAGTTTTCGGCGGTAAAAAGGTGTACGGGTTAGGGGTGCTGATGACTGCAGTTTTTACACTTTTAACGCCTATAGCGGCTAGGATTAACTTTACTTTCTTTATTATTGTTAGGATTCTGGAGGGCATGGGAGAGGTAAATATATACTTTTGTCGGGGATAATTTTTATTAACAATGGCTTGCAATAAAAACGACCAGAAGCATGTAGATATCTGACACTTATTTTATAGAGTTACTTCCGTGGTTTATTACTGTAATTCTAATTCAATTTTAAGGGAGTCACGTATCCTTCTATGCATGCTATGCTAGCAAAATGGATTCCCCCTCTAGAGAGGAGCAAGTTTGGTGCTTATGTCTATGCAGGTAACTGTTGTATCATTTTTGGTCAGATTTGGACCATTCTTTTTCATGTTTATTCTTATCTCTATTATTGCATAATTACTCACTTACAATAATAAATTGCAAATTGATACTAGTAAAATTAGCGCAGGCTGGATATTTTGGAGCAATTTTTTTCATTTGCAGGTTCTAACTTTGGAACTATAATATCCCTACCGCTTTCCGGTTGGTTATGCTCTTTAAAAATGTCTGATGGTACGGGAGGATGGCCGTTAGCATTTTACATATTTGGTGTTTTGGGCGTCATTTGGTTCATATTTTGGATATTCCTTGTTTATGACTCACCCACCACGCACCCTAGAATTGACCGACAAGAACAAGCTTTTATTCTAGCCAGTATCGGACCTCAGGTAATTTTTTTATTGCTCTGAATCAACTGAGGTAGTTCACAGTTAGAAAAAGTTTGGTAATCCAAGCCAATTTATTATCACAAAGTATGATTTTAACTCAAACCCCTATTTTATTTTCCATTATTTTCTAATTAAATAGCATTTACTCTGCAAATATTTGGTATATGATATTATTATTTAATATAATATGTATTAGAAAATTTGATTACATTAAAAGTATAAGTTTAAAAACGTTGTATTAAAATAGCATCATTTTTAAATTGATTATTTACGGTTGTTTAAATTATTATTGTTAAAAAAAATATAGTTTATACATTTTATACATTTGTATACTATATAAGTTTTATTATTTTCATCCATTCAATGCTATTTTAATGCATCTAATAAATTAGATTTATCTCATCTTACACGAAAGAAACCAAAAAACCTGATCGGTTTAAGATTAGCAGATCAAGCACATTTGAAAATGTTCAAAATTTAATATAACAAGGACTGAAAATATAAGAAAAATAGACTTTGCTGATTTTTTAACCCCTCATTTTTATAGACAGTTTTTTGATAATTATAGAATATTCTTCATTTGGTTTCATTTAGCAAAGAAAATTCCGAAATATTCTCGCGGGAAATTAAAAAATCGTAGTTTTCTAGTACTTTGAATACAGGGTGTCCCGTAAGCTCATGATCAAAAGAGTACGATCTGACCTAACTTTTATTAACAAAAAATATCTGGCTCCACTGCTATTGATGGTCAAAGTTCTTCAAAAAATTTATCTTTTTTGAACTTTCGGGAGAATGGTACGATGTATTTTAGTGAAACTCGCCGTGAATTTGTTCTTATGTAAGACTCATATTTTGATGAAACAATCGAGTTTAGCCGTTTTGGACAAGTGGTGAATTCTTGAGTGTCGTGGTAGAAAAACTACCAGCACTTTTTAGTTGGAGGATGAAATCAACTCATTTTTTTTAGGTTGATGCACTAATCATTTTTTCAGAACTTTGTGCTCTTTGTACAATCTCGTAGCATCCATAGTTTTTGCGCAAAAAAAATATATCTGTTTTAACCCGAACTTATTATTTAGTATTGCGCAAAAACCATGAATGCTTCAAGATTTTATAGAGGACAAAAATGCCAAAAGATAATTTATGCATCAACGCAATATAATCAGTTGAAACTTAAAAAGTTATGAAATTTTTTGTACCAAGACACTCAATAATTTCTCACATGCCCAAAGCGAATGAACTCGGTTGCTTCATCAAACCATGATAACTTCTGTTTGGTTCTGTTTTATGCACGGTGTGAATGGATTGGATTGCGAACGTCGTCGTTATGTCTGGCATAGATAAAGACAAGTACGCAGTTCTCTCGCACGCACACAACCACCGGCGATTTCAATCTAGTCCCCACAGAACATCCCCCAGAGAAAATATTTTATGCTGGTCCCATTAGGCCGGTCGTCTATTATAATAGTGTCTAGACTGTGATCCGTTCGTTTAAATATAATAGTGTGTAGTCCGTGGCCGGTGTCCTTTCGATGCGTTTTCATCCGCTGCTTTGCGCGCGAGCTCCAGAACGTTGCAATGAAATTGGACCATTCGCTCCTTTTCGCACGTTTCTTTTCGCAGTTCGGACGAAAACTACTTGTCTTGGGCAAAACCACTAGAAATTTCCATTAATTTCAAGTGGAGATCTTAGTGTTGATTTTTCTTCTGTTTCAGGGCAAAATTTAATGTCATGTCTGAATGAAAGCTACAATTAAAGATGGTAAATAATCCAGCTACAATCGAGCAAGATAAAATCGAGTGTCACAATACGTTTCTTATTGCAGTTATCATAAACCAATTGTCACTTTTGTAGGATTAGATTATGATATTCTAAATACCAGCGAGTAAATTGCAACATCGAATAATCTTAAATGTTGTAAATAAAATACAAATTTTACTTTCAGTAGTAGTACTAGTCCAGTGACGTACACCTTTTTTTTCTTAATAAAAGTTAGGACATAATTTTCATTTGGGACAAAGTGTCTCAATGTCCCTTTGTCATGTGCTAACGACCCTGAAAAATAGATAGTCAAATTGTTGCCTGATTGGATCTAGAACTGAAAAAGAACGTTTTCCAGAAAAGCAACACAAAGTAACCCTTTCTGAGATTTTCATAATGTTTAAAAAAATTATTAAAGAATCTTATCTATTATCCCATGTTATTTAACTTATACACACTCGATGAGAAAAAATGTAAGCGCTTATTCGTTAGAAAGATCAAAATAGCAAATTTGTAGGATGAAGATAAAAGTGCCGTACCATGGTCAAAAATGCTCACTTGTTTGCCACTGTGGGCTATTTTGGTGACTCAGTGTGGAAATTCTTGGGCCTTCTACACCCAACTGACCGAATTGCCCACTTATATGGCGCAGATATTGCATTTTGATATAGAGTCAGTAAGTAGCAAGCAAGCCAGCTTTTAATAAAATTTCCAATTGAAACTTGTGTGATCCATTTTGAATGTTATAAGGCACAATAGAAATATTAGGTGAACAAAACAGTCCTTATATTTTTCACAAATTCGCCATTTGAGTCCGTATTAAATTTATTATTTTGCTCAGGAAATAACCTGTTTCTATGAATGATTCCTATTTTGTTTCTTAATTAACTTTCATGTGAAAATATAGAAGTAAACTTGTTAATTTTTTAAACTATTTTAGAATGCGGTGCTATCAGCTGTTCCATATCTCACCAGTTGGTGGGCTGGCATATTTTTCAGCATATTTGCCGATTGGCTGCTACTGAAAGGTTACATATCGTTATCACTGTCGTATAAATTATGGAATTCAGTTGGTATGTATTTTTCCACAGTATTAGTTGCGATCTGAAGTAAAAAACTATAAATTTTAGCTTCCGTTATTCCTTCTTTGGGCCTGCTTGGAGTGGCCTATGTGGGATGCAACAAATACGCAGCTCAGCTGCTTCTGGCCATTCCAGGTGCTTTCGGCGGTGCTACATATGCTGGTAATCAAATGAACCACATAGCTTTAAGTCCTAAGTACGCTGGTACCATGTATGGTATTACCAATGCTGCCTCCAATATGTGTGGTTTTATGGCGCCGTATGTTATTGGCTTGCTAATAAACGGAAGGGTATGTATTTAGTAAAACTGATTATTCATACAATATAAATATTTAGAAAAGTCGTTCAAACTGTACATGGTGCTACAAAAAATATACATCAAATTACGTTTTTTTTTGGGAACACAATACAAGACTAAAATCTATAGCATAATCAAGGTAGGATTCAATAAGGCACAATATAAAACATGTGAACCCGGTTTGCTATATTGTAAACTCTTTCATTACTACTTCATAGCATTTCCAGGTTCCCATAATCTGGCTTCTCTTAAATTGGACACCCTGCATTTTAAAGTCTGAAGAATCTATTCAATTCAATATTCTAATTTAAAGAAAAAATATTGTGCTTTTTGTATTTACATAACTTAAGAAAAATAGGTATTTTAGAACTTTTTTTCAGGAAACCCTCGGCCAATGGAGAATGGTTTTTTATTTGGCTGCAGGAATCAACATTGGTGCCAATCTATTTTACGTGGCGTTTTCCAGTGCTAAAGAAGTGTCGTGGTCCAGATCACAAAGAGCGAGTTCCAGCAATTGACAAGCGCTTTATTTGGCCATGTTGGTCGAGACGTAGCATCAGTAGCAGTGATTTTCTTTTACGCAGTTGATTGCGGACAAAACAAGGTTTAGATTTCGTCTATCTGCAGGTATTAGAGCAACATATTGTGTATACCCATATTGACAATATTAGAGTAAGTAATTCTAATCGATAGTGATTATTACACTGATATTATTACCTTTCTAAATTCTAAGAATCTTGGCTTTATAATATTTACTTTTCTGGCTAATTACGACCTTCCGGATTTTATATACAAGGTGTCGCGTAAGCACATGATCAAAAGGGTACTGCGATATTCTTTGCATCAAAGAAGACGATCTGACCTAACTTTTATTAACAAAAAATGTCTGGCTCCTCTGTTATTGATGGTCAAAGTTCTTCAAAAAATATATCTTTTGGAATATCGGAGAATGGTACGATTTATTTTGGTGAAACTCGCTGTGAATTTTTGATTCAACGCATATTTTGATGAAACAATGGAGTTGAGCCGTTTTAGACAAATGGTGAATTCTTGAGTGTCGTGATACAAAAACTACCAGAACTTTTTATTTGGTGGATGGAATCAACTCATTTTTTGTTGTTGTTGCACTAATCATTTATTCACAACTTTGTGCTCTTTGTAAAATCTCGTAGCATTCATAGTTTTTGCGCAAAAAAAATATATCTGTTTTCTTGCCACTTGACAATGTTAGACATTAAGTGCAAATATGCGCCGCGTAAACGCGTACGCTTTCACGCAAATTGTCTTCGCAAACCCCTAATACTTTAACCATGTCGGTCACTTCTTCATTAGAAAAGTGAGATTGATTGACAATTAATTTATGCCTCGTATCACGACATTTGTCTAGCATTTCTAAGTGACTAGAAAATAGACATATTTTTTTACGTACAAACTATGAATGCTACAAGATTTTACAAAGAGCACAAAATTGTGAATAAATGATTAGTGCATTCACTAAAAAAATGAGTTGATTTCATCCACCTTATAAAAAGTTCTGGTAGTTTTTGTATCACGACACTCAAGAATTCATCACTGGTCCAAAACGGATGAATTCTATCGTTTCATCAAAATATGAGTCTTACATAAGAACAAATTCACAGCGAGTTTCACTAAAATACATCGTACGATTCTCCCGATATTTCAAAAAAGGTAATTTTTTTAAGAACTTTCACCATCAATAGCAGACTAGCCAGACATTTTTTGTTAATAAGTTAGGTCAGATCGTCGTCTTTTGATGCAAAGAATATCGCAGTATCCTTTTGATCATGCGCTTACAGGACACCCTGTATGCAAAAATTGCAAAAGAGCTTTAAATCTGTGTAATCTGCTATAGAAGGAAAAGGCTGGTAAATTCATTTGGTTGATCCTAATGAAACTTTAACTATTTAGATTTAAACAATTTTTTTTACGAATTCGATCTGATATTGAAGGCTTAATTTAATGTTGGCTCTTTAATTACGGGCTTTAAGCAGCAACTGCTTAAGTTGGTCAGTCAGAATTTTACTCATTAATTAATTTTTCGTTCCTAATCTATTTATCATTCTCTTTAACTGCAACTATATGATTATTTTTTGACAATTTTTTTGTTCAATTTGTCCAAAGTTTCTGAGCTGTTAGTCAAAATTAACATGGAAACAATAGCAAGTTGATTCATGTTTACGTATTTCTATTTGAACCCTATCAACAGATAAGAGTAATTTACTTAAAGTAGGTAACTTTATAAGATTCAGAAAACATGTTTGCATAATGTTACAGATATATTTTTAAAATCCATAAATACATGGGAGAATTTAAAATAACACACAACTGAAATATTGTCTTTTGCATAAAAAATCGGGCTTTTTTCCTGTGATGATGGAATTTAAACTCAACTAAGTAGTTTTCAGTAATATTTTGCTGTAATTAAAACTGCACAATTCCAAGTCAAGACTGTCACAAATGAAAATATCAGTTCATTAAATGTTTTATATGCGCCTGATCCAGTAACAAGTTACCTTTCTCTTATTTAATTTTTATTGGAAACTAGTCTATTTAGAGCGAAATAAAAAAGTAAATATGCTTTATTTGTACGAAATTATTATTCGCTTGAATTTTAAGTTTCTTTTAATCGCTTATAAAAAAATATTTTTATATTACTGTGTATGTGGTACGCATGTTATGCAATGTACAAGGGGCTTGGACTGCTAATATACCAAGATGTATGAATAATTTATACTTTAACTGTCTTCTTTGTAGAAATTGAGCAAATAGATATTGAAAAATTCTCTAATTATAGGGACACTGAAAAAGAAAGACATACATTCTATTTTTTTTACAAACTGCTTGTTGGGTATTTTGCCTCAAAAATGTTTGTCTTTAAAAAAGCAAAATTTCCCTCTTTTATTACAGATTGATAAATAGTGCTCCCATTTGGCATTAAGAACAAATTATTTATCAAAAAGTAATCAAGAACTATCACCTAGAGGGTATCCTGCGACACACTTAAGCTCAAGCTGTAAGAGGAAATTCCAATTAGTACAGAAATTAATTTGAAAAAATTATCTTGACATTTCGATAGCTATTTTCTGCTATCGTTATCAAAAGAACCTAAAAAGAGTGTGTTAATAAATTGTTATTAATTACTATTGTTACACAATTTATTAACATACTTTTTTGAGGTATAATGCCCAACAAGCAGTTTGTAAAAAATGAAACCGCCTCAACAATATAAAACTTACATTTTACTGCTATGAACAACTAAAGGAAAGGCCAATTAATGTAATTCAGCTGTTTAAACACCAGCAAAACTTGCTTTAAGAAGTGATATGAGATCTATATTGACCATGTTTTATTTGTTTTGCTTTCTATTTATATTGTATAGACTAAGTTCCATTTTCGGAAACACAAATGTGATCTTAGAAACCAATTCAGTTTTACGTTATCAAAATAGTTTATTTTTCGCAATATATGATTGCAGTATTACACCTTTGTATTTGTCCATGCTCTTCGGGTAAACTTAACAAGTCCCAAATAAGTGCGTCAGCAGAATCACGCATTTCAAAAATCTCTGCATGTATCTAGCAAAAAATTATCATCGTGATCAATGTTTCTTTACTGAACTTACAATCTGGAGAACATCAATCCCCAAAGACGCAAATTCTTCTCATAGGTAGTAACTACTCGGTACTGATTTTTCACACAATATCTGATAAAAATAAGTTTTATTTCATTAAAAAAAAGATGCCAAATGTGTACAATGCACTTTCAATAAACTTAATAGTGCTCAAAAAAACTATCTAGACATAAATTATAAATAACCATGAAAGTTGACAACCTACAATAGACTATTTTATTTCTTTCTTTGGCGAAACCAGATTTGTAGCTTTTGAAGAATCAATTCCCAGCGCCGAAGAGAGAAGCTTTACTACGCTTTTCACGTCAGGATTGTCTGTTTCTAAAAAAAATGTGTCAATGTGTCGTGTTTTTAAGGCGTTAAGGCTTTAAGTTACCATCTGTCGTGAGTTCTTTTTCCAGTTTCAGCTTTTCTTTGCACATCGCTAACATGCCCTCTTCTATCGATCCTTGAGATATCAACCTATAGCAACAAATGTTTTATTATTTTATATTTTATTGTTTGTGTTTTAATATGTATTATGTATGTTTTTTTTTTTAATTATTTACCTATAAACAGTAACAGGTTGTGTCTGCCCCATTCTATGACACCTATCTTCTGCCTGCTTATCATTGTATGGATTGAAATCAATGTCATGAATAATAACAGTATCTGCGCTAGTAAGATTTATGCCCAATCCCCCTGCGCGAGTTGACAATAGAAAAATAAAAATTCCCTTATCTTCCGTATATTTGTTAATTAAATCCTGCCTAAAATTTGCACTCTTGATTAAATAGATATTTTAGACAAATAAATAAAGAACCTACCTTGAATTGACCGCTGTGCTACCATCTAGCCTTAAATACCTATGGTTCCTAAGTTGCAAATAAACTTCGAGAACATTCAATAGAATAACATACTGACTAAAAATTAGCACTCTATGTCCACCTCTTTGCAATTCTGGCAAGCATTTATCTAGATACATGAATTTCCCAGATGTGAGTATTAAATTATCGGGTAGCGTATACCTATTTAAACACTGAAAAAATATTACTTTTATATGGAAGATGTTTATGAATTTTATTTCAATTACCACAAACTGTTGCGCCATTGTGTGTATTTCAAAATCTGACATCCACTTCAGATCTTCTACAATATATTCTACTACAGTATCTTTGTAGCCTGGGTCTTTCGCTAAAAGCTTTGCAATTTCCTTCAGCTGATCTAGATCGTAATGATAGCGCATCAACAACGGATGGTTACTCAATTTTCGCAAATCAGTCATTATGCTCATACCGTTGTATGTATTCCTCCCTTCCTATTTAAAATGAAATCGGACAAATTAACTATTTGCTGCTAATTAACATTGACATATTCATCTTACGCTAATATTTTTATACGAAGCAACCAATTGCCCATATTGCTCTTTCTGGGTTGGAACCATTGCAACCGTAACAACCAAATCTGTCTTTTTCGGCAAATCTTGCAAGACGTCTCTTTTAAGCCTTCTTAAAACAAATGGTTTCATAATTCTTTTCGCTTGTTCGATTTGCTCTTTTTCAAAAGCGGGTACACTCTCATCATCTTTTGCTTTCTACATATACAAATTAAAATAATCACCGCTAATGATGGTATTTTGGTCAGTACTTACGGAATTTTTTTGAAAAAGATTTTTCAAGTCAACAGTTTTTTCAGCGAACATCTTCGGCATTACGAAAATTAAAAGTGACATCAATTCTAACAGGTTGTTTTGTAGGGGAGTACCTGTTAGTAATATGCGGTGTTTGGCCTAAAACAAAAAAATGCTTGCCGAAATGAAAGGCATTAGATAGCTAAATAGATAAATTTACATTTATTCTAATTAGGTTTTCGTATCTCTGAGTGTTCATGTTCTTCAGCATGTGAGCTTCATCGAATATAACATAATGAAGAGGAGTTACTCTAAACATTTTCCTCTCTTCAGGACTATTTCCTACCATGGTATAGCTACAAAAATTAAATAAATCAAACTCCAAACTTTCAAAAGTTGCACTGCATGAAGTAAAACAAAAAATACATAATACTTACGTTGTAAGAATAACGTCAAAGTCGGCTAACATTCCTTTAGCTAAATCGAACCTAAAACCCCTCCGTTCTTCAGTGCTTCCATAATACATAAATACCCTCAGTTCGGGACACCATCTTCCCAATTCGTTTTTCCAATTATCTAAAGTATTAATGCAACATACATAAATAAATAACATCTTGCATGAAAATGCTTGCCCCAATGCGAGTATGATATTTTTCTCCATTACTTTTGTAGAATAAAACTTGGTAACTTACCTAACGTTGATGAAGGCACAACAATTAAATGTGTATTTTGGGCTTGACCCGTTACTTTCAAATAAGCTAAAAAGGCGATTATTTGAATGGTCTTTCCTAAGCCCATTTCGTCAGCTAATATGCCGTTCACTCGCTGACAATTTAGGACCGCTAACCAATTTAATCCAACCATTTGGTATGCAGTTAATCTCAGTCTAGAAGAATAGAGCAGAAAGATGAACATAATTATTGCAGAATTTCCAAATCAAACGTACGATGAAGACAGATTTCTGGGTTGCTCCTTAACACCTGCACCAGCAGCAAAGGCCCTTTCCATTTGTTGTGCTAAACTCGTACATCTCTTCATCAAATGTCTGATGTTATTTCTTGTAATCAATACTTGTTGGGCTGAGTTTAACAGATCAGTACTCAAACTTTTATTGTTTTGCAGTTTTGTTACCTAATAGAAGAAAGCCATGGTTCGATGTGTTACCTATAAATTAATCATAATAACGTCTTACTAAGTCTATCCAGCCAGTAAAAGGTCGGCAATCAATGAGAGCTTCTGCTTTTTTCTTGGAACAATACTGCATTAGTTGTAATTCATTCAAAGTGGCTGTTTCAAAAAACTCTATCACTTTCTTTTTGTCCCCAGTCAGTTCGTCACTAATTTCAGCATCCGAATCTTCATCATCACTAAAAACTCCATTAATATAAAGAAAAGTGTGCTACAATTTGAATCTAGCTTGTTGCAGTAAGCGAATGCAATATCAAAGAAATTATTTGCTTGAGCTCACCTATCAAATACTCGTCTATCTTTAAAATCATTACGACTTCCCGTACTTTCATCACTGTCGTATTCTTCTCGTCTTCGTTTGACTGTAAAAGATTATGCATTGTTGTGTGCTTGCCTAAGTCGTAGAATATACCTTTCTTTCTCTTGTTCCCACTGGGCTCTCCCACCGCATACCGTTTTTGTGCGTTATCCACTGATTTTTGATTGGCGTTCTTATCATATTCCTCTCTCCATTTGCTGTAAGTACTTTGCTGAATAGTCCTAGAGTATGTTCGGGATAATTCTGCAGCCGCAGCGTCAGTATTAAAACTGTGCTTTGATAGAATGTCGTGGATTCTCTGAAAATGTCCAATGCAAACATACAAAATATGAAAATACATGAACCATGAACATGAAAAATGTATGTTGCCTTTTGTAGAGAATTACCCTATTCCTTTAAAATGTGACGCTCATATTGGACAATAATTTAACGATCTGGAAATCGCATGTCCGATAGTAAGAAAAAACTGCTGTGATTGAACTGCTGAAAATTGAATCCTCATGAAGTACATTTGCATAGAAATGCCTTTGAATGAATGCTGTCTTTACCATACTGTTCAAAAGAAAATTCAAATTACAGTACGAAATTGCTAAAAGTTTTATTGCATTTGGAACATACTTCTCATAATGCGAATTTTACACAGCGCCGATAATGTTCAATTGAGCAGTATCAACTGCTGCAGCTTATTATGCAGGGCAGAATCCAAGGAAAGAGAAGAGCTGATGGCCGACGCATATCTTGGCTGAGAAACCTAAGAGAATGGTATAAATGCACCTCCATTCAGTTGTTTAGAACAGCCGATTCAAAGATAAGGATTGCAATGATGATTGCCAAACTCCGAAACGGAGAGGACACTTGAAGAAAAACTTGCAATACAGTTCGGCTTTAGTAGTCGAAAATAGGAACTTATCAGCCCGGGTAGAGAGGGTAGTTATAAAGGGGCCTCTAACATGGGAATGCAACTATATAGATACATATAAGTATTGATAATTTAATCACTCTTACTGATAGTTTGGATCTTGTCGCTGTTTGAATACTTGCGTTTGAGTGATAACTTTAGAAGAAGAATAATAAGCTTTAGTGCCACGGGTTGAAGTACCTATTGAAAAAGTTGCCATTCATTGTGCAATAGTTTGCCAATGTGGAATCGACTCCTGATTACTTTCAATTATCTGGGGTTCGATTGAAGTATGCGCGTTGTTAAAAATGCAGACAGACTTGTCTACTACCTAGCGATTTACCCATTAAATTATGTAAGTAGAATGTGTATGTTCTATGACGAGTATCAAGATTCGTAAACGGTTGTTAACTATACAAAGTAATTGCTGTAAAAGATAAACTTATAAATGTTAAGAATTTTTAAATTCAGAGATGTCTTGCATTCTCCCGATTATACATAACGAACATTCAAGTGTAGATCTGAATTTCTATCTGATCTACGACAGGAAGAAATACTTTTCCACGGCGGTTTGAAAACCTTAAAAGGTCACGAGTTCGAAGCACGCAAGTATCTATTCGGAAAGGTGTACTCTTTTATTCTCTTGAAGCTTCAAAACTGCTTGTAATTATTTGAGATGTAAAGGTTTCGAGCAAGTCTTCCACCCGCACTGCATGCAGGCTATTGCCAACATTACTGATGGTTGGCCGACTTGCTCATTAAAATCGGTCAAAACATACCTATAGGTGCTTGCGAATTCTCAGATTTTATGTGGCGGGGTTTAATTGTCCGCGAGTATATGTGGGTAACCTGAACGAATCCCATAGTTAATTTAATGGTGAGTTTGCAGTAAAACAGGTATATAAATTGAACAAAATAAACCAATTATTTAACATTCCTATATTTACTGCTGATCGAACAATACCTTAAAATCCCGGTCCAGTCAAATAGTAGGAATAAATAGGACTTTTCTAACTGCTCGCTTGCATACCTAGGAATTGATCAAATACTTACCATTGCATCAAGACTAGGGAAAATCTCGAGCAGGAACTTCATTTGCTTCTCCTTCTCGAGTACACCAGGGTTCTTGTTTCGAAACATCCCGTTTTTTTGGGATGCGCTAGTGACCGGAGGCACATTTGAAATAGTAGTAGCAGCAGCAGCAGCTGATACTGGAGGCCCCTGAGTAGTTTGCTTTGGATCTAACACGTCCATGTGATGCTCCACTCTTTGATTTTCAATTTCGGAGTCGGAATCACTAAAATGATTTGTCAGCTGCTGTCTTCCAGCAACTCCCACTACAACTGGGCTTTGCGAAGCTGTAATTTAAACAAATAATCCCTCAAAAAGTGTGTTAAATTGGAAAATTTAGCTTACAAGTGTCCAATGTCTCACTTGACTGGTGAGAAAGTTGTCCTTTTTTCTGAATTCTAAACCCCCTGAGAGCAAGTGTAGGACTGTGCTCCTCGGTCATAATAATCGAATATAATCAGTGAAAATTTAATAGGGAGTTGGTATTTTTGAGAAATAAACAACGAAAAAGTTACAGACAATCAACACGACCGCCACAATGTAGACGGACAATTTATGAATTTATGTTAGTTAGAAACTTTTAGAACGGTGGTGTCTGGTTGGTAGCATTTGATTCCACTAGATTCCCCTAGTTGTGAACAGTATATGAAATAGTTGCTAATGTATTATAACAGTTAATTAGTTATTAGAACGAATGTGATTAAACAGAATGAACTGATGCTGCTCACATGTTTATATTAATAAAATGAATTTAAATATTTATTTTTGAAATAATCAATGTCACCAACAAAATTTTATTTAAAAACCACGCTAGGGAGAGCCACTGACAGTTTTCTTGATAAGTGCC